TCATTGCATTTTGTGGCATTAGCTGTTTTTGGGATCATCACAAAGGATGACTGCAGCCATTCTCGCAGCAACAATTTCTATACGAGTTTTAATTTCTTCATCCGGATTTAGTGTCTCGTTTATTCAACATCCTAGATATTTAAAAGGTTTAACTTTTGTTATAGGTTTATTATTGACAATTAGTTATATAGCGCCGAGGTCTTGTTTACTAACAAGTAACTTTGTCAGACAGATTTAGAAAAACAATTATCCACATTTTTATCATCTAATAATCTTTCTAACGATGAGAAGACAGCCCTTCTCTTTCAGACTATCTCTCTAGCTGCTTCCAAATCTATGCCCATAAAAAAACCTTTTACTCCTTCAATGCCAAGGCCTTATTGGTGGGATGAGGAATGTACACTGATTATAAAAAAACGATCAGAAGCCTTGAAAGCGTTTCGAACCCAAAGTAATCATAATAATTACATAAATTATAAAAATATAGCAGCGCAAACCAGACGATTATTTAAAACAAAGAAAAAAAGTAGTTGGAGAAATTTTTTAAATAGTCTAAATAAAAGCACACCTCTCTCAAAAATATGGTCAACCGTCAGATCAATTTCCAATAATTATCAGTACAACAAAAAACCTCAACTTTCTGAAAATCTCATTAAACAGATGTTGGACCAACTTGCACCTTCATCTGCCTCTGGTAATGTTGGTAGGATTAAAGAAGTTTTTCGCTTTAACACTAGTATAGATTCCATGTCAAAACCTTTTACTCCTTTAGAACTAGATTTCGCACTAAAAAAAAAGCAGAAATACAGCCCCCGGCTTGGACGGTTTTACTTATAAGATATTGGACAAATTGCCGTCAAATGCCAAAGATGTTCTCTTACAAATATTTAATAGTTGGTGGTTGAAACAAGAATATAGCGATACTTTAAAAAATATTATCATATGCCCTTTACTCAAATTTAACTTAAACCCAAAACTTCCTTCATCTTATAGACCCATTTCTTTATTATCATGTGTGACAAAATCCTTTGAAAGGCTTATAAAATTTAGATTAGAACATCTTATTGAAAGCCGTTCAGTTTTTCCCTACTCACAGTATGGATTTCGTAGAGGTCGAGGTACCATTGATGCTCTCGTACATTTAGTTACGGATATTCAACTCTGTTTCTCAAAAAACGAATTCATGCTATGTTTGTTTCTAGATTTAAAAGGTGCATATGACGTGGTTGATTTGGATATATTATATTCAAAAATGGTGGCATGCGGTATTGATAAAAGATTATCTGTAAATATAATTAATTTGTATGTGAATAGAAAAATATACTTACGGGACCATAGAAATGTATTACACGGTCCAAGAATATTATATAACGGTCTCCCACAAGGCTCAATTCTAAGTCCTTTATTGTTTAATGTTTATACTGCAGATCTGCATGGTTTGATGGATGAAAAATGCAAAATAATTCAATATGCAGATGATATATGTTTATATACCAGCCATAAATCCTATGAAGATTGTATGTTGAATCTAAAACTTAGCTTTAGTAATATAGATAAGTGGGTGAAACAAATGGGTTTTAGTATATCACAAGAAAAATCTTCGATTGTATGTTTCACTAGACGTAGACAAAAAGTCACAGGCAAATGCCAGATAGGTGATTATAATTTCCCCTTAGCAGAAGAGTATAAGTATCTAGGCATGATCCTAGATAAAAAGCTCTTGTGGTCTAGTCATGTAAAGTACGTAAAACAAAAGTGCGAGCGTGGAATTAACCTTCTGCGTTTCGTTTCTAAAAAAAGATGGGGTGCAGATCAAAATAGCTCTTTAATGTTTTATAGATCCTACATACGATCCATTTTGGATTACGGTTGTATTCTTTACGGTTCAACATGCAAAACAAATCTATTAACCTCTTGACAGAATACAATTTAAATCAATAAAAATTTGTCTAGGAGCTATGATGTCTTCACCAAACCAAGCAGTTCTAGCAGAAGCCCAGGAACCACCTTTATTCATACATAGGCAAATGTTAGCCAACAAACGTCTAATAACGTACAGATCGTTTAATACAACTATGGTTCACAAAATAGGTTTACTTTTGACAGAAAATTTAACAAATCCTTATTGGAGAATAAAAAATTCTCCTCCTCTTACAGAATCTTTTATCGATACGAATTCATTTCAATCTTTTATATTACAGCTACCAAAATTTCCTTTTTACGTAAGAGACTTTGAAGTTCTGATAGACAAACCAACCATTATAATGCCCTCTTATTCAGACTTGCCAATTTTAACTAATCTGATATTCAAATCCATACTAAGCAAATTAGGGGAAGATTTAACAATAATTTATACAGATGGATCAAAAACTGTTGAAAGTACTGGTTTCGCTTTTTTTGTTTCAAACAGCAACTATGTTGAGAAATATCGAATTCCTGAATATTGTTCTATTTTTACAGCCGAGGCTGCTGCTATACAGAAAGCACTATCTTGGTGTGTCACTAATTATTGTGAGAACATCGTAATAGTATCAGATTCTCTGGCAGTATTACAAGCTATTCGTAGCCATCCATTAGACAGTTTTCAAAACTCCATTATACTTGATATCAAAAAATTATTATATGATCTAAAATTCACAAACAAATCAGTTACTTTTCTCTGGGTTAAAGGACACAATGGAGTAATTGGAAACGAATTGGTGGACAGTATGGCAAAAAATACATCTGAGATATCCGAAATTACAAATTTTTACTACTTTAAAGATCTTTTTTCTATTATCAGGAGTATTGGCAGGGAAAGATGGATGTCAAAATATAAAGAGGTTCAGAAGACTTCAAGAAACCATTACTTTTCTATTCACCCATGCTTACCAAAAAATATCCCCCATTTCAATCTTAACTTTAATAAAGTACATTATTCGTTAATAACGCGGCTAAAACTAAACCATGGCCTCTTTCCAGAGCATCTGCATAGGATTGGAATCTATGAAACTCCTTTCTGTCCTTGTAATAAGAAATCTATCGGAGATTTGAATCACTTATTTTTCGATTGCTCTAATCATAGGGAACAGACTCGAAGACTATATTTAGGTTTAATTGATCTCAATATTAGCCTTCCAGTTAACATCAGCAATCTGTTATCTTATTCTGACAAATCTATATATAATATTCTAATCAAGTTTATAAACGATTCTAAAATAAAAATTTAAACATCCTTATAACAATTTTCTGTGGCAAAAAGATTCTTTGTCTAATGCCATCTCTCTCTCTCTCACACACACTCACACACACACACACACACAACTTTGTCTTTGTTGTATTTATACTTAGCCCGTTATTAGAGCATTCTCTAGTGACTCGATCTATAAGGAATTAAAGATCTTCGATACTTTTAGCCATGATTGCTGTGTCATCTGCATATCTGATGTTAATAATAGTTTCTCCCCCGATTCGAACTCCACATGGCCCTTACAAGGCCTTGTTAAAAATTATTTCTGAGTAAACGTTGAACAAAGTTGGAGACAACACATAACCCTGTCTAACACCTCTTTGAATACAAATTTTGTCTGTTTCTTTGCCGTCTACTAGAATAGAAGCTTCTTAATTCCAATATAGATGTTGTAAAAGTCTCAGATCTTTATCATCTATTTCAAATATTTCTAAATATTCAAACAGCCTACCATGTTGAACAATATCAAACGCCCTCTCAAAATATATAAAACAGACGTAAATTGGTTTCTGTACTTCCCATGATCGTTAAAGTAGTGTTAGCATTGAGAACAAAGCTTCCCTTGTTCCCAATCCTTCTCTGAAAGCGAATTGTTTATTTCCCATTGTGTCTTCACGTTTCTGCTTGATTCTATTAAGAATTATCCTAAAAAGTAGCTTGAGAGAGTGACTCATGAGACTAATTAGTCTAAAGTCTTTACATGATGATGTATTAGGTTTTTTTGTATATGTGGTTATAAATGTTTGTTAGTTCTGAGACATTGTCATCGTCTAGAAATTTCAGCCAGTCTGATGGTATGTGGTCATGGCTTGGAGATTCCCATTTTTGCTTTGTTTGACGGCTTTCTTTACTTCTGCTTTTAAAATAATAGGACCAGTATTCGTATACTTTGTGGTGTTAAGTGGTGGCCTAGTATCCAGGAAGAGCTCTTTTATGTAGTTGGTGCATTCTTTCTTTTTTTCGTTTAAGTCGAGAATGATTTTATCTTTGGAGTTTCTCATAAAGTGAGGAGTTCTTTTTTTCTGAGTGTAGGTAATTTCTTTAAGTTTTTTGTGTATATTAAACTCGTCATGTTTTCTTCGTAGTTCTTCCATCTCACGACATCTCTGTTTCATCCAGTCCTCTTTTTCTCGCTTAACCTCGTATCTTATTTGTCGATATATTTCTTTATATCGAATCTCATCTTTATTTTTACAATTTCTTCTTTGCTGAATATGGTCTAGTATGTTATCGGTCATCCAATTCTTTCTCTTAATTGGCTCTTTTTCTGATTTTTAAACTTCGTCTGCTATGGTAACCATGACGGAATTCATTATATCCATATCTTATTTCCGAACTCATCTGCTATTGCGGCATTTCTTAGGAGTCGATTATTATGTTTTTTTTTCTGGACTGTCGGGGTTTTTAATATTTTTAATTTTAGCTTAAATCCGTACAGAGCAGATTATGATTAGTTACTATGTCTGCACTTGGGTATGTTTTAAATATGAAAAACAATTACACAATAATAACTTACCTGCTAGTCCAACAAATTATATGGAAAATATTAAAAAAACGAAATAAATATGAGAGACACCAGCCAATCAGAAAAATAATATAGATTAGCCAATAGTGTAACTACTCAAATTGCGACGGCCTTGCAGAAATGACGAGAAACTGGAGAGAAGTGGTCAAGAATCGCAATAGAATCGCAATACTTCTACTTCAAAAATTCTAAACCTCGTCAAGAAATTTATTTGACTCTTGATTTAATTTTAAATAAACAACTAAATACAAAAACATTTATTTTAGTCAACAATACAAATACACTTTTAATGATGCCACTTTTAAACAACACGAAAACAAAATTACATTACATATATCCAATAATTTTTCTATGGTAAAAAGAATGCCTGAAAAATAAATAAAACTGATATAAGATGAGTGAATAACTATGTAATTTTATTAAGACTATAATAATTTATTAAATAACGAACATTTTTATCGTTAACAATATTTGATCAGATTGTTTTAGACCTAATAAAAATTAATATGAGTATTTCACTAGACTATTTTCAACTGATAAAACATCATAGCAACGCCACGTTTCCTACTGACAAAACAACAAAAATATGACAGATCCATCACAAAGGTGTCTGGTAATTCTATTGCATCGAGTTAGAATCTATGGAGAGGGCATCACGTGACTAAAAACGACCTCGCTTCGGCCATATTGTTAATACTATTGTTTTGACACTTTTGACGGATCGTATAAGTTTATTTACATTTGTTGTTTTTCGAATATTTTTAGTTTTATAATACTTTTATAGAAACTGTAATAATATATTGTGATAGTGCATAATAATGGTTTCTTGTTCTCAACGTAGTTGTAGTAACAAAAGTAAAGTTAATAAAAGATATTTTGGAATAACGTTGTACAGGTTAGTATACAAAATTTGTATAGTATACAAAATTTGTATACTAACCTGTACAACATTATTCCATTTATGTAAATAAAGTAATGGCCCGTACTTCAAAGAATAAACTAATAGTATTTGACTGTATTAATTTATCGTTATGTATAATATAATCGTGTTTTTAGTGTTTACCGCGGGATAAATAAATCATAGTTTATTAAAAATGTATTGCACTTTTTTAGATTATGATTAAATCTTCTAAATAACTATAGTTTATTTTTATGAACGAGAGAGTAATTAGCATAATTTTAACTGGTACCTTCGACCACTCCATGGGCGTGCTCAAGATTAATTGAAAAATTACTTTAAATAATTGTAAAAAATAAATGAATTATTTCAGTGTTATAAAGTGTTATGTGTATGTAAACAAAAGTGACCTCTTTTATCACACACTATATTAGAACTGACTGGCCTACATTAAAAAGGGTTTTAAAAAATTCACATTTTTTTTAATTTTTAAAAATTACAAAAGAGAAAAAGAGTTTTTAAAACCGTCTAAGGTATGTTAAATAGATGAATAAAAATATTAATATAAAACTTACAGCTACTTGTTACAAATCCAAATCAGATTCAGAAGATGAACTTTCAGAACCAAGATTTATAATAACTGGCTCGATCATTTTATCAGTAATGTTGTCCAGCTTCCACATTTTTTCCTCTTCTTTAATAGTGTGATTTACTGCCTTTTCCTAGTTTTCAGGTTTTACATTATTTACGGCCTCCAAAAACAACAACTGTTTAACATCATGAAATTTAAAAGTGGTATTTTTACATTAGTTCAATCGGGTTTAAATTCACAATGATATGGTGAGGATCTAAGTACTGTCATTCCACGATTTTTGGCAATTTCATCAATTTCGTATTTTTTAAATTTTTCTTTATGAAGGGCACACAACGAATAAAGTTCCTTTCTTATAGATCCGGGATGGTACGTAATATTTTTTGAACTCAGCCAATTCTGCAAGTCTTTTTTTAACCACTTGGTTGTGGGCAGTCCTTCTATAAATCTGGAGTGATAACTTGCATTATCCATTACTATTACACAGTTCTTAGGAAGAAGATCTATCATTTGTTCGAACCATTCTTGAAAGACATCAGCGTTCATGTCTTCATGGTAGTCACCGGTACGAGTTGATTCAAAAGTTAATAAACCACCTTCAACAAAACCGTCTGAACTGCCAATGTGTACTATTATCAGCCTGCGTCCCTTTCCTAATGGTGGGTTTAAACCAGTAGATAAGTTATTTACAAAAGCGTTCCTTTGACCTGTAACAGTTTCATCCTGCCAAAATTTATTTGGTGTATGACCCTCGTTAATCCATGTTTCATCAAGATAAAATATTTTTCTTTTTTGGTTTCTCATTTCCTTTATGGTTCTTAGAAAATGTCTTCTCCATATGACAATATCGCTTCCTTCAAATAAAATAGACTTTCTGGGATTTTTTTTTCCAGCGGAAGCCTATTTCTTTTAAAAGTTTCCATAACGTACTTCGACTCATTTCTGGGTAATCCTTATCATCTCGAACTGAGACAAGAACTTTATCCAATGTTGGAAATTCTTGTCTAAAGAAGAATTCATGCACTTTACGTCGAAGTCCTTCTTTAAAATGATATTCTATTTGAAATTTTGGTTTCCCTGGAGTATTACGTGGCATTTGAAAACTACCACATTTCTCTTCTTTATTAACTCTGTAAATCGTAGATTTCCCAACACCAAGTGTACTGCTAACTAACTCAACGGTCTCATCAACACTTTCACATAAACGTTTGTCTGTAAATGATTTAAAACAATTAAATATTAATGTTTTTTCATTAACTGTTAAAGGACCAATTTTTCGGCGTTTACACGGCACTTCCAAATTTTCCATAACACTAGTATACACAATAAACTGCACCTTGCAACTGAAGTACCTACTTTTAGTGAACTGTTAAGAATTTTGAATACGCCACTTGGACCTTCCTACAAAATGGAAAAACCCACTATTAAATTTTCTGTGGAATAAGTTTAGAAGGTAATTATCTAGTCAATTACTGTCGTAGATTCCTGGAATTAAAGAATTAAATGTTTGATTGTTGAAACCCTTACTTCGTGGAATGCATTCATTTCAGATAAAATAAAACGTTTTATTTTATCTAAAGAATTAAACTTTATTTTGCAAATAGGTAGGTACTTATTAAACTTTTATTGGTTATATATAACCAATAAAATAAACATCTTACATTTCTTGCAAATTCATTAGTACCTGTTAACCTCCATCACTCCGACACTGGCAACCTTATTTAGGGATAAGTAACCCTCACAACTATTGTATTCTATTCTGCTCCAACCTTTATACCTGGTGGTCATACTCAATTTAAAATTGTTTTCCTATATACTTCTGTAAACTTGTTGACAAATATCTGTTTTTCATTGAGTCACCCGTATCAACAGTTTAGGGATTTGCATACATAATTTATTGTTTTATTACTCTCTCATACATAAAAATACACTATGGTCATATTTTTATAGTAGTTTTAATATTATTGAGTCCGGCCATGATCCCACCGCCATATCGGTATTATCGTTAGCCACACCTACCTACGCCGTTTTTAATACACACGTTAATATGCTCATAGCTTCTTCATAGATTTTAACTCGATGTTCTATTGTTATCAGTTTGACAAACGTCATTGAGGCATAATTAATTTTGGACAGATCTAATGAATCTAAACGAAAAATCAAGATTTTGATGCAAACCAAAACATGTCAACCAAAAAATTGGTTTCGGAAAATGTCTCATTGAACGCGCAAAGGTTAAGAAGCTCTATTTGGACCCAATTTTCACTGTCCACTTAGAATCAATACCGTATCTAAGTGGACAAAAATTTCAGCTAAAAAAAATGGAATAGACACAAAAAAACATAAAATAACTAACCATTCTCATCAATCTTCAGCTGTGTCAGCCTTGTTCAAGCAAGGTGTTTCTGAACAGGAGTTAATTAAACTAACGGGTCACTCAAATGCAAGCTCTCAAAAACCATATCTGCAGCTCTCATGGTGATGGTTTTGGTGATTGAAATTATCACCAAAAGTTCGAATAAATCGAAAATCTTAGAACAATAAATGCAGCTGGACCTTCAAGTACACAAATGCTACAGGTCAATAATACATAAAATCATGCTTTGGTAGAAAAGAATGGGCAAACTACTATAGCTTATAATAATTTTACATTTAATATTTTTAACAAATAAATAAAGATTATGTTTCGTTGATATGGTGCAATTTTCGCTCAAAAAATTTTGACAAAATCAGTCGACCGACGTCTCGTGATATAACTGTCAAAATTTAATTCGCGAAAATTTCCAGGCAACAAACTTTCATACCAGTCGAAAATATTGCCGGCACAATTTTCTTTCTTATGAAATTATATGATAAATACTTAGCCAAAGTTAAAGTGCACGAAATATATTCAAATTCTTTTAAAACAAAAAAAGGAAAGGAACTAAAGAGTTCCTTTCCTTTTTTTGTTTTAAAGAGGTGAAAGTATACTATCACCATTATTATACAATATATATTTTGCATATACAGGGTGGTCCTTAAGTAATTGTACAAAAAGAAACCGCAGATTCTACACTTTAAATTTTTCGATTTAAGCCAACTTGCTTTAATAAAATGTTGATATTAAAAAAGATACAGGGTGTTAAAGTGGAAATTTAAAATTTTATTTTTCGCTATAACTTTTATGTTTGTAAACATTTATGTATAAAAATTTACAGCTGGGTACTATTGAATATAAGGAATTATAATTTGATGCATACTTTAAAATAGCTAATGAAGGGCGCCACATATGCCACATATGTGGCATACATTTGCACTTAACTTTTTTGTTTTTTAAGTTACCGGTATTTTTGATAAAAAATATTAAAGATACATTATTTTAACAAAAAAAGGTATACTTGTTAAGAACTTGAAAACTCAACAGTTTTTGAGAAAATCGCATTTTACAAATCAACCGCATAATTCTGATTACTCCAAGCAATAAAAGAAATATAGATAAAAACATCAATACTTCCGAACTTTGTTATAAAATACCTTTAATAAAGTTAATAGTTAACGAAATATTAAATAAAATAAATATATCAGCGGGATAATTAATAATAGGATTTGATAAAATAACAGAATAATTGGATTTTACATAAAACATTTTACGTTTTGTATTAAATTAAAGTCATAATCAAAATTTTATTTACAAACCAAATTAAGAAATAGGTAGTTAAACTCAATAACATTAAACTTTTTGTCAAAGTAAATGTTTAATATGTCCACTATTTTCTTTATTTGATTTTTCAATACATTCCATAAAATATCGTTTCATATTAAATAGCATCATTGGTTCTAAAGAAACTGCTGCAGTATTTATTATAGTTGTCTTAAGTATAATAATAAGTATTTTTTT